CCAGCCTGCCAGCCCACCCTGCAGATTCTGGACTTGTCAATTTCTGTAATCACATGAGACAATTCCTTAAAAATAAAGCTCTCTCATATATATGTACATACACACACACATCCTGTTGGTGGTGTTTCTCTGGAAAACCCTGACCAATACAGAAGGAACTGTTTGAAAGCTGCCCGCGGGCTGGTGTCATCAGGAGTGAACTTCCCTCACCACCCCCAGACCTGAGAAAAAGGCCTCTTGGGCTGAAGAAGGAGATGGGGTGGCCATTCCCAGAAAACCGGGATAGGACCAGGAGGCCTGAGCCTCCTGTGATCAAGCAACATTGCTCCCAGTGCCAGGGGACCCAGGGCAAGTGGGTCAGTGCCCCCATCAGGAAAGAGTGACACCCTCTTCTGCCCTGAGAATATACCCTGCCCCCATCGGCCCCTCCCAAATCAAAGGTCAAGGACACTTATTATGGAGATGGGGAAGGGCTCACTCTCCACTAGAGTGAAAGACGACGACCCAGCACAGATCTCCTGAGGGCTGAGACACCTCCAAACATAGCAAGGATCATCCCCCCACCCTCTGCAGAGAAGGAAGGGTGCCTCCTTCTTGGGCCCTCTCTCTCCCAGCTTCGCCTCTGTGGGTCTCGAGCGCTATCAGGGTGCCTGGCTCCACCTGCCTGCCTTCTCACAGACTCCCGGCTCCGCGTCCGCTATGGCATCTTCAGGTGGCTTTTCCAGATCCTCCCCCCAGGCCCCTGCAGACATTAATTCTACTCAACAGTCCTCTGAGTGCTGGGCGGGGCTTCTCCCGGAGGCCGGAGCACCCCGAAGGGTGGGAAGGCAGGGTCTCCGTTCACGGCGCGCCCACACTATTTTCCCTCCAGTCTCTAGTAATTCTATTTCAGGGCTGGAAATCAGACCCCGAGGCACACCCCCAGGAGCAAGGTCGGGTCTGAGCGCCAGCTCTGCCCCAAGATCCCTCCGCTACAGAGTGTCTGTGAAGTCACTAAAGGGTCTGGTGCGAGGCAGGTGCTCTCCGATGAGACGGCTCCATAGGGGGCCCTCCTGACCGGTGGCTGGGCGACAGAGTCTTGGGGGCCCCAGCCAGCAGCCAGTGCCATTGACGCTGGCCACTGATTTAACAACCCTGGTATGAAAGAGAGGATTCTATAAAAGTGCTCTTTACCTACAACTAAAAATAACCGAAAATAGGTCAGATTCTGAGCCTTGCGACCCCCTACCACCAGGGGGAGCCTCCAACTCTTGCCTCCATCCATGAGTTCCTGTGTGGGGGGAGCTGTTCCTTTCCAAGAGTCCCGCCTCTGCCGTTCCCATAGTAACGACGCCCTAGGGATGGAGGCTATTTCCCAAGGGGTCCAGGGGCGGAGTTCATCATTGTGCTCAAGGATTTCCCTGGAATACCAAAGGCCTGGCAGCGAGCAGCTCTCCCCTTGCCAGAAGATGAAATAGGCCTGAACTGCAACCAGGAGAATAGGGCTCGATTTGGGGGAAGAATTGGGTAAGAGAGAAAAATCACATCCACAAAAATAACTTGTGTCTTTTGCCAAGATTGTTAAGGACACGGGGACATATTCAAAATACAATGGTAAGTTAAAAAAAAAAAGAGAAAAAAAAAATCAGGAAACCGAGTTGAGGATACAGCATGAATCCAGCTGTGGAAAAACCTTTATCCTGGGAAATCACCGAATCTGAAGAGTGCTGAGTTAAGTGCCATATCCACGAGCGCTTTTTTTTCCCTCCTTCTAGTTTCCCAGATTTCCTTTAGGACCACATGCGACTTTTATGTAAATAGAAATTAAATAAATACAAAGACAACTAGGGTTCCAGAAGTTTTGCGTGAAATCTTTCTGGACAACTTGGTTTTGGGCTGGTTGCATCCCAGGTACATGTCCCTCTGGA